TCCTTCCTTCCTTCCTTCCTTCCTTCCTTCCTTCCTTCCTTCCTTCCATCCATCCTTCCTTCCTTCCTTCCTTCCCTCTCCTTCCACCTTCCTTCCTTCCTTCCTTCCTTCCTTCCATCCTTCCATCCTTCCTTCCTTCCTTCCTTCCTTCCTTCCTTCCATCCATCCTTCCATCCTTCCTTCCTTCCTTCCATCCTTCCATCCTTCCATCCTTCCTTCCTTCCTTCCTTCCTTCCATCCTTCCTTCCTTCCTTCCTTCCTTCCTTCCTTCCTTCCTTCCTTCCTTCCCTCTCCTTCCACCTTCCTATGTTCAGGAATTTCCTGTTCTCTAACGTAGCTCTTCTCCCTCATCTGGGTTTCCCAAAAACCATTTTCTTCTCTCCTTCTCTCTCACAGAGACCGGCTTCACCACACCTACTTAAAAATAAGCGAGCACTTGAATTACCTGGAGTCCAAATTGCCTCCGGATGTCCCGAGAACCTATTATACGGCCCTCGCGATGTCCATGGGCTTGGTGGAGAAAGGTATCGATGCCGTAAACAACTTCAAGAGGCAAGTGACCCCAGTCACTGACAAGGTGGCCGAATCCCTGTACTCCATTGTGGCTCCCTTCGCAAACTCGGTCTTGGAGAAGATGGGACCGTATTCTGAGGTCCTCCGTCGGGCCGTCAGCACCTCAGTTGAGAGACTCAACCCGAGGTTGAGCGAGAAGCTCAAGAAGCTTCTGGAAAAGATGACCAAAGAGTTGGCTCCATTAATCCAAACCCTCCAGAATGAATTACAAGAATTAAAGGCTTCCTTACAACCAGCTACTGACCATGTCCAGAAGAAGGTGAAGGAAAGCTTGAAGAGAATCAACGAGGAGTTGCAACCGTATATTGCTCCCATTCTTGAAACCCTTGAAAAATATACCAAGGCCTCTCCAGTTGAACCGTGATTGCGTTTCTGCAAGCAGAACCTTGGCTGATCTCTACTGAGAAATCAGTAGGTAATAAAATATACAGATTATGGCCATTTCGATTAGGGCTGTTTGTAATTCCCCACTTTCTCAGGCCATAGAGGAAAGAGAGGAGTGGGGAACAATGGTCCCTTTATGACTTGTGGACTTCAACGCCCAGAATCCCCGAGCCAGCATGGAATTCTGGGACTTGAAGTCCACAAATCATAAAAGGGCCATTGTCCCCCATCCCTGCTGTAAAAATGGAATTATTTCCAGAAATGACAAGCTGGTGCTTTTGGTTACAAAAGTCGTGTTTCTTATTCCAGGATGAGAGCTACTACTGAATAGAGACACCTAAGCAAATTGAAGCAGCATTAGATAACACAACAGGGATCCCTCCACCTAATCATGCCTCCTCTCAGACATGTTAGGACTACAACTTCCCAAAGTCTCTGCTGGTTGTGACCCAAACATTTAATGAGGCCATCAGTTTGGAAAAGATTGTTCTAGGTTAACCTATATTTCCTATATTCTGCTTCTAAGTATTTTCTATGTACTAACTTAATACATAGCGTAACCTCTCCTCTTCAGACTGCTGTGTGTAGTTTTTGCAGAGGATTCTTTGCCCATAAATATGTAGAGATATAGATAGATAGATAGATAGATAGATAGATAGATAGATAGATAGATAGATAGATAGGAAAGACAGAAAGACAGGTGATAGAGTCAGATAGATAGATAGATGATAGATAGATAGATAGATAGATAGATAGATAGATAGATAGATAGATAGATAGATA